GCGTGGACCTGCGGCGTGACGTCCCAGCTGTTCTTAGGGCGGCGGGCAGGGCCGTGTCGGTTTGCGGAGCGCCGCCGGGGAGCGGCCGCCTGGGCCGCTGGCGGAGCTGGGCTCGGTGGGCTTGTGACGGGCAGTGCCAGGGCACCGCTCTCCTCCTGCTCCCCTGGTCAGCAAAGTGCAGCGGCTGCTCTAGCAGGCGGGTGTTTGGGTCGCGGGATGAGGGGGTGAGCCTGTATGCAAGCTTCTTTCCTTGTATTGTGAAACTCTCCCACGACGCATAAAGTCCCTGGAGCTGGCTATTGGTGTCTCCCTCAATAAGCAGCAGCCAGCCAGGAATGCTTCGGAAGCTTCTGCCCTTGGGCTTTGTGCCGTCGTCGTTTTGGCGATGCTTAAAAGCTCGTAGGAGCTAACAAATGCTTTTATTTCTGTTCCAAATAGGTACTTTTCCCTGCCCCCCTTCCTCCTTCAAGATCAGCAGAGCTATTTACACGTCACTGGTTGGTAACTGGTACTCTAGAGCTTACTTGAGCATGAGTGTCAACTCCGATGTCAATTTTTCTGGTTTACTGTTTGCAAATTGCTTTGAGGAATACGTTTAATGTTTGTGGGCATGCATTTATGCTGCATTTTTAAGGCTTAATAACATTATTTTTACAGATCTGGCACCAATTTAATCCACAAAGCAGTAACCTGAAAAACAGTTACCTGGTCTAACTTGAAAAGCAATTAAGTTTTGTGACTGATCTATGTGGAACTAGTATAGTTACCTGTTTCCTGACATAAGCATTTTGTGCTTATCCTGGCAGGGAACAGCTGTAGAGACAAGAGCAAGAATGTTGAGAATTATGAGGAAATTTTCGGTGAATGCATTGAAGTCATCAAGTTTCTGCAATGAGGTAAACTTTTTCCCAAATTTTCATACTTCTTCTGTGAGCAAAAGAAATACATGGGTTACTCTGAGTAAGCATTTTTTTGGTCTTTCCTTTAAAAATTGGTATCCAGAGTGCATAATTTCATGTTGGAATTGGGCTTCACATAAGTCAGAATGTAGAAATGGAATTTGTAATTTTTCCATAAACTTTTTTAGTTATCTGTAGTTTTGATTGCCTAACATTTGTCATTGTTAAATTTATATTATTTACACAAATAATAAGAAGTATTTAAAATATTGTGGCTACCGACAACGTTTGATGCTATTGTAGATTTTTACTGGACTGGCCAAATAATATTGAGGTTGGACTTGGTTTAAACCTCGGTGCTACCATCTTCGTGCTTCTGCTTCCAAATAGCTGGTATCTTGAGCTTATATAAATATCTAACAACAGTGTCAGTTCCTGTAGTTTTTTTTTTTTTTTAGTTTAGTTTTCTACAACTGGCAAAAATGTACCTACAAAGTAATTATTTATAATGATAAATATTCTATATGTTTTCTTTTTTTCTATTAAGCATGTGTATTTCAGGAAGACAAAAATGAGAGTCCTAAGTGTGACACAGCAGAAGTGCAGTCTGAGAAACTACAGTTCTCCACCAGGTATAAGTTCAAACTGTTTTTTTAATAGTAGGGATTACTTTAAAAATGAGTAGCATACTTTCTACTGTTTATAGAATTAGGCGTATGAAGCACAAACAGAGCAGTTAAAAGGTTGAAGGAACGAAAAGACGTGGTTTGTATTGCTGGTCTTTTCTCAGTAGGTGTATGGTATAAAGCCTTTAGAAAACAAGAAAAAGAAAAGATACAGATGTCTAAGAACTCAGGTCGCTTGTGAAGTGTGCTGGAACCCCTGTCCAGTTGCCTGAAGTATTAATTGGTTATCAAGTAACTGATGACAGCCAGCATGTAGACAAGGGGAGAAAGACAGGAATCTGATTAAATAGAAGTTTTAAGTTATCGTTAGTGTATTTTCTTTGCAGACTCAGGATAAAAGAGTAAAAATAAAATACTTGGAAACCAAAATTTCAATTAAAAGGAATTTTTGCCAGTTTTTGAGTAGCTGCACTGAGATTGAACGGAAATCAATTGATGTGAGGTAGTGTTGGGAGTCAGGGCTGCTTTTTCTACATCAAGATGGAGACAGAAGAAAATATTGGTAACTGGTGGGTAACCAACTTCTTTAAAAAATATTAATGAATTCAGCACTGTGTATTTTAGTAAAAGTCTTTAACCTGCAGTCACATACGTGAGAAGAAGACTTACTCTTCTCAGTCGATGTAGTCTCTGTTGCTGCGTATCACTGTTTCTATATATTTGTCTACGCGATGTCCTTGCTGGCTACTGTGTTTATCCCCAGTTTTGCTGTGCTGAATACCTCAATGTGTCATGTGGAGGCAGAGCTTCATTCCATACACAAGAAGATATCGTGCCTTAGACAAGCAAGAAATCGCAAACATACTAATGTGTTATTTTGTGGGTTATTTTAGAAACTGGAGGGAAAAAGGCAGTGTTATTTGGAGCTTTTATTTGGGGTGGGGTTGGTGGGTGGTGGTGAATTTCCAGCCTGCTCCCTTGCTTCTCCTAAGATCAGTCTTTCTCCTCATCGAAATGTTAATTTATAAGATGCCTCTTTAGTGTCTCTCTGATGAGAGGGATGATCTGTAGATGGTAAAGGAACATTAGTTTAAATATTGTTGTATTTTGTTTCGCCTATCAAAGATAAAGTAAAGTGCTAGGAAAGCGAGTTCCTGGAACACAAGTTAAATGGCTTGAGTACCTGAATTACAGATTCGTTTCATAAAAATTTAGCTTGGCAGCTTATTTTCCAGCTAAATAGGGTGTGAGAGAGGAAATATCTTTAATGAAAACAGGAATGCAAACTCTTCAGTCCCGTGTTTTCTTAACTTAGGTCAGTTTACATTTTCTCCCTGAGAATTATGCAGTCTAGCTTCAGTGTTTAAAGGAGAAATGGCTTTTGAAATTTGTCATCTAATAGCCAGTTCAGATGAATGTCAGCATTACAGTTGTCTTGAAATGTGGCATGTTTTGTTATTACTTCTACAGAGTAAGATTTTACTGTGCTGATGATGCTTTTTTGTGTTGGCTTTTTCCCATTGTTTCTAAATTACAAGTGTTGTGAAGTTTCTTTTTTTAAGAGAGGGAGAGGTATTTATTGAAAATTAAGTATGTATCTTTAGAAATTTGAGGTGGTAGAGATTACAGATTGTCATGATTTGTGGCTCTGATTTTTTTTTTTTAATAAGCTTTTTAGGAATTTTCTTAAGTATATTTGATTTTGCTAAAATCTATCATTTCTATGTTGGGGTCAGTCTTACAAATTGTTGCTTTGTTTCGTTTGTCTCCAGGAGATGTTAAGTCTCTGCGTTCTGTCATTAATCCTCATATATCCAGGTACGTCATCCTAGCTTATTTTTTGGATGTAACCGACAATCAGGGCAATTGATGTGATAAAAAGTCGTGGATTGTTGCTATGCCCATCGCATGCATAGTTCATGCGCCCATTCTAAACTAAAGTTAGTACTTCCGTACTTTTACCCTTCTGACATTTCAATATAGGGCAGTTGTTGGTGTCAGAGAGGTCTTGGACTGTCTCTTGCTCACATCATCAGAACTGAAACGGGGCTTTTGGGGATGCTCCAAATCCATGGTGGTTGCTGGGAGCTGAGCGAGGGGGAAGGGATGTCTCGGCAGCTAGACCACTGCTATATGGGGCAGGGCTGTATACTTTGTGTCCCTGGGATCACTCAGCCGTGTTAGATGGGGGCCTTCGTAAGGAGGGCAAGGTAATTAGGGGCTGAGCTGCCAAAGGAATGGCTTGGGGGTGAAGTTCCCTTGGAAGGCTACTTCTGTCCTGAGGTCAAATTCAGCTGGCATTAATGGTGAATATGGGGGCTATCGCAAGCCTGTGATGCCCAGAGCTACTGAAGCAGTTTTGGAAGCTACTGACGAGGTACTTCAGAAAGGAAGACTTGGCTGAACAGAATCAAGAACAACTTCATGGGAACTTGGATGCTAGATTTGGGGCATAAAGGGTATATGTGCAATGGATTGTTTCAGGCACCAGGGATTAGGGATTGGGATGCATGAGAGGGTGGAGAGGGGCTGCTTCTGTCTGTGGGGAGGGCAGATGGGTGAGGATGAGGCCAAGAAGTGGCCTTCCCCTGAACTGAAGCACGGAAACCTGTTCTAAAACTCTGGAGTACTACCGATCTGAAGAAGATCCACCATTTTAATACTAACATACTTCAGCATCAGAATGTTCGCTGTATCAGATACGCAACAGAGGAAAAATGTTACTCATCTGGTATGCTATTCTCAGTGAATATTACTTGTTTATATGAATAACAATATCACTGAATAAAAAAATTACCACAATAAAAGCAATGTTTTTGCTTTATGCAGAATCCGAAACATTGGCATTATGGCCCACATTGATGCAGGGAAAACTACGACAACAGAGAGAATGCTGTATTATTCTGGATACATAAGAACACTTGGAGGTTAGAAATACTTTTTGTATTTCAGTAGCTTTGAGAGATTTAATAGTATACAGTAACATGCAATGCAGTTAGAGGTTGCTGGTGGAGTACTTAGTGTAGAAGCCAGTTGTTCCAAAGTTGTGCTGCAATATAATGAAATTTTAATGCACATTCCATTATGTTCCAAGGCAGTTGTACTTTGAGAGATCATAGGTTCATATTTTTCTTTTATTGCATTATGTTTTGTTTGACATTTAGCTAGAGGTTCTCCTTGGTTTACTTGTTGTGCATTGGCCGTTCTGGTAAAGCTGTTTCTTCAGTTCTCTTTTGACCTGTAATAAACCAGGTTAACAAAAAGTAACCATTTCCTTTGAAAGCCATAGCACAGGAAGAATTCCTTGCTTCAACAACTCTCGCAGAATTCTTCAAGATTGAAAAGGTCACAGCAGCCTCCATTTGTGCTACTTTTTGACCTTAAAATTTAATTCCCTGTTCTCTACCGCGTATGAGAATGGTAAAAGATGTTAGGACTTGTGGAGTTGTTGAACTTGGTGGCCTGCTTGTTTACAAATGTGGAACTGCTTCTCTTTTTATTAAACATTAGAAAAAAAAATCACAAGCAAAACCCAACCTCTTACTTGTTTGGTTTGGTTTTTATTGTTTTGGTTTTTTTTAAGTTTAGTTTTAACTTTATTACCTTTTAATTAATACATTTTAAAATGTCAGTCACATTCCATACAGTGAATGCAGCCAGGTTTTTTAAAACTGTAGTTTGTTCATGATTTTGGACTTTGCTTTAGTTTGTAAGTTTCCATGGTGTTACTAGGATTAAGAACAACAAACAGGTTGTTGGAATTGCTTTTCTTTGACTTACAGAGCATTTGTTACCTGGAAAGGGAGCCTGGGTAAATTAGCTGACATGATAATTTTCTGAAAAAGGCTAGTTTTCATAGCTTATACATATATAAAAGGGACAGTATTTCCAAATCTTCCTTGGCATCTGTGCTCCAAGACAGTTTCAGCTTTTGAATTATTTACCTGCCCAACTGTAATCCTGCTTCCTGTTCACAGATGTTGATGATGGGGACACAGTGACAGATT